TGAATGAAGGGTTTACAAGGCCTGGGATTCAGACTAGACTGCAGGGAGTGTGTGCGTGCGCATGTGCGTGTGTGTGTGTGTGTGTGTGTGTGTGTGTGTGTGTGTGTGTGTGTGTGTGTGTGTATCATAACAGACAGAAATAGTTCTTCAGTTACTTCGAAAACGTTTCATCTTTGGTTTGCAAGTGTGAGTAGCAATTGAATTCTACTCCCAACTTGAATGCTTTTCCTTTAAAGGTCTCACTTCCACCTCCACTAGTTATATCATGAGGATTTTAGAGACCAGCTATTAAGAAATATGGGAAGCTGAGGAAATGCCTCAACTTATCACACAAACATGAGGACTTAAGTTTGGATTCTCAGTACCCACATAAAAACCAGGCAGGCATGGTGACCTACCTGTAATTTCTGGGCTCTATAGGCAGAGACAAGGGATTCCTAGGGAAAGCTGACTAGCTGATAAATTGGTGACCTCTAAGTTTAATAAAAGTCTGTGCCTCAGTAAATAAAGTAGGAAGTGATCAAAGAAGATACTGCATCAATATCTGGCCTCCATATGCAAGGACAAACATGTGCACAAGCAGCTGTGCACATGGGCATCCATATATACACAAACAGGCATGCAAATGAATGCATAACCACACATGTAAAAATAAATACAGATTTAGAAATAATAAAAATTACCTTTTTATTTGAAGATGTAAATTCTGCCTTTTCAAATTCAGCAACTTGTTCTAATAATTCTCTGGAGAATAAAAGCAAATTTAAGAGAATATTCATTGACATTAGACTTCTAGCACACAAAAGAATAAAAAAAAAATCACAAGAACCAACCTATCACATGCTCATGAGAAGAGCATAAGATTGTACAAAACTGATATTTAATTACAAGTGGTTGGGAATCTCACACCCCTGTAAGCAAATCTGAATCATCTATAGCTCTTGGTACTTTGTACTTGGTAGGTATATGATATATATAGTAAGACATAAAAGTCAATACATATATGAATGACAGTTGTATTTCTGAGTTGCATCATGATTTCTCTATTGCAATAATATTCACTGTTACCTAAGAGTCTGATTTGTAACAGAGTTATCTTGGATATGAAAGTAGTCCACAGCATCTACTGAGCAAGAATACCGGCATATTCTATGGAAATACAGATGGTGTGACCAAGTCCCCAATGATCCACCAAGACTGATGTGTTGGCTATACTCTTGCTTAGAGACCATTCTTCTACCTTCTTCAAACATCAACACTCAGCATGTTCTCACCAGTCACTGACAGTTGCAGAAGTCAAATGAGTTTCCATCCTTGCTTGGGGGACTGTTCTTAGCATTTGCTCATAATTTTCCACTTGAGGCGAGATTGGAGAACAATTTCTAGAGCTTGGCAGTGAGTCCTTCTTGACTTCTGGCATGTATTTTTTTTTTTTTTTTTTTGAGACAGAGTCTTATTGTATAGCCCTAGCAGTCATGAACTCCCAGAGACTGCCTGCCTCTGCCTCTCAAGTGTTGGAAAAGGTATGAACCATGATGCCCAATTGGCATGCTATTTCTCAGGACAAGCTTCAACTTCACTGATCTTACTAGAGGTTTTTCAATTTATGAGCTTTTCAATATTGTAAAGCTTTTAAGCCTTTTATAGTTTACATTTCCTAAGGTAAGTGTATGATTTCAAATGCAGTTATCTAGAAACAAATTTGCAGTGCTATAGTCTGAATAAATGGAAATGATACTCCGACATATTTTTAAAGGTTCCAATCTTTATTACTTAGTAGATCTATGCATCAAGACCACTGTAATACTAATTATGCTACCAAAGATGCTGTAAGGAATCATTACTTTAAATAGATTGAAAAGCAGTTTCATTTGGCTCAAATGCTTTTTTAGTACCTAAGGATGGTGGAATCAGTATCTTTAAGAGGACTTTGAGTGCTACTCAAGGGAATTATCTAGTGACTGTGCCTTACTGCCACCCTACCCATATTGTCTCACACCCTAGCCCAAGAAATGCACTAGCAAAGTTATTTGCTAACTTTTAAGATCATGCCTGGGTCTCTATATCTCAACTATAGGTACAAATTTTACCTGTTTTCAAGTTCAGAGATGTCTGTCTGTAGCTTTAGGTACCACTTCTCAGCTTGTGAGAACAGCTGCCGCAGGAGTAGCACATTGGTGTAGGCTGTATTGATGAGCTCAGACTCCACCTCACTGTGTACCACAGCCTGCAGCCCATTCAGGACTTCTGTGACCTCATCCATGGTGAAAGTCTCCTCCACCAGCCTGAAAACATTATGACTCCAATGGCTAGCTTATCACAGGAGCAACTTACAAAATGAAACCGAAATCAAGAAACCTACACTTTGACATTTAAAGAATCAAAGATTACAGGAAAAACTCTCTGGGAGAGATTTATTAAAATGATTAGATTGTGGATAATTCTTCAAATGTGTTTATTTTAAAATACAACTACATGCTGAGAAACACCCTCTAAACCTTCATCTATCCTTTTAACTTTTCAATATTATTATTTTTTTACTTTATACTCCTCTAAATTAGTCTTAACACATTTAGAAACTTAAAAAGTCACCTAGAACATGTTGCTTCTCCATTTTCTGTCACTTTTCTAACATTTTAATAACAGTGTGAATCACTTAAATGTTAGTAAATGCCCATGAGACATAAAATGCACTTGTATGCTGTCCCCCCATGTGAGAACTTACGCTTTTGGAGGAGGAGATGAGGTAGGGGCTGGGGGGGTTAGATGGGGAGAGGCAGGAGGAAGGGTGAGAGCGGGATCTGTGGTTGGTATGTGAAATGAATAGAAAAATTTCTTTAAATAAAAAAATTTCTTAGCGGTTTAGAGACACAAAATAAAATAAAATCTAATGTCTTAAAGTACCACTATGACATCACAAAAGTTAATGTCTCCATCAATAGCAGCGTTAAAAACTACTCTCATTGGAGATACTTGGGTTTGAAAGGAATTTCAGGGGATGGGCCATCATCTTCAATACCGTAACTGTACACAGGGCTTAGAGAGTGGAAGAGATTTGCCTGTGAGTCCACTGTGGGTGACTAAGCCCAACAATGTCAGCAACATGACCAAGAGTTAGAGTCCTTAACATACCCTGTGCACACCTCCTACTCTCAATGATATTGTCACAGTAACAAAATTTTTGTCTCTCCCAGCTTTGCCTCTCCAGTCTCTCACCCTCAGACTCTTAGCTCACCTTTGTCTTTTACTTTTCTTCCAAACAGACAAAATCAAGCAAGAGTTGGTTATACTTAGTCTTACAACAATTATACTCAAATTAATAGTAAACACTTCTAGCAGTTAAATTCCACTAAGTAGTATTTAATGGATGATTCTTTAACATCATTTGACTAAAAGAATATAGCCATTTAAAAAATATAGTACTTTAATTTCATAGTCCTTGTAGTGGGTAGCCATTCCAGCTTCGATCTAGAAGTTCCAACCCCCATTGAGACTCTGGCAACTGTCACGCCTACGAGGCGGGACCAGGGGAGGCGCACAGAGAGAGCGCTGGCCCATCCAGCTCTCCGGTCTCCAGGCGCCTCCCCTGGTCCCGCCTCGTAGGTGTGACAGTTGCCAGAGTCTCAATGGGGGTTGGAACTTCCAGATCCAAGCTGGAATGGCTACCCACTACATCTCCTTATTAAAATATTAGTGTTTTCTTTATTATTTAATAGACTATACCATATTTTTGCCAGTTACATTGTTTTCATCCACTGGAGTTAAAGAACCAGATCACCAGATTAGGTTAATTGGTTGAACAGACAGTAGTTCAAGGCTGATGACCTCCACAACAGCTATAGACAACCCGGAGACCTTTACTTTTTGTACTTACATCTCACTTGACATTTAACATTTACTTTCCATTGTTGGTCCAACAAAACTTAACAACTTTTGCTTCAAATCAACTAACAATTTTGGTACTACCAAGTAAGTGTTTCATAATATCTTTCCCTCTCCTAATTCTTCTAAATGAACAGCACAGGTTCATAACTGCCATGTCATATGTCTCTGCTCTTTTAAGATATCATTCAAGAAATTAAAGTTATGGAAGATTTGATACATAAGTCCTTCACAATTTTTATCTGAAACTTTCCAGTACACAATGATTACCACGTACATGTCTGACAATGTACTGGTACTGTCACACCACAAGTATTTCTTAATTTCACAAATCCATGGAACATAGTGGAGCCTGTCTCAGTGACTGCTATGGTTGTTATCCTGGTATCCCCATACTAGCTACCAGGAAGAATCCATATTTTTCTCTGATTTCCTAATCAGAGTTTAACTTTATCTACTCAGTACCCTTTCTTTTTTGAGAAATTTTTACATGACCAGATACACAGGTATTTAAAGTAAGCAAGTAGACAGATAAAACATTTGCTAATTAAAAATCATAATTTGTTTTCTTAAAACAAACCAGGTGTCATGGCACATGCCTTTAACCCCAGCACTTGGGGAGGCAGAAGCAGAACTTTCTATGAGTTCAAGGCCAGCCTGGTCTACAAAGTGAGTTCCAGGACAGCCATAGCTGTTAACAGAGAAACCCTGGCTTGAAAAACTGAAAATAAAAAAATAAAAAAAAAAAAAACCCAAAAAACAAAGAAAAAAACCAACAATTCCTTGTTATATATAAAATTTGCCATTTACTAAAGCTGAAAGCTAATTTTTTATATAATCAGATAATGTGCTTATTTTTCTAGCAACAATTAAATCTTATTTGAGTATTTGATAAAACAAAGCAGAGCACACCTTCAACATTTTTCGGAGTTGATTGATAATTTGACTTTATAACCATTAATATTGAGAATACTGCTCTGCATAAATATACAGTACAAAATGGCAAAATATATTTATGGCCATTTCAGAAATGGTTGGAAATTCTATCTTAATCCCACACCAAAATTCACTTTATGGTTTTTTAATGAAACACAACAACTCAAATAACAATTTTTAAAATCAAAGACTCTAACACAATAGACTCCAGAGATACACTAATTTGATACTTACATGCTGAAGAATGATGGTAAGAAAATATTGTGTTTGTCATAATTAAAACATTATGTTTCTATAAGAGCAGGTTACTTATATGTACAGTAAAATCACTGAAATTCAAAGTATACAATAGTCTAAGCCAAAGAGTTCCAGGCAGCTTCCATTTGAGCTGGGTGGCATGATGGCCTGGGCAGTGCAGAATGTGCCTGTAGTGTTTAGAGCCAAGGCTGCAGTGACGTCATCACATGATAAAACATTGGCAAATGCTATATGAATACTTCAGATACATTATGAATTTGATTATGAACTAATTTTTAGTGATGGCATTTTCAGAAATCTTTTACTACTGTCAAATTTTCAAGGAATACACATTCATTCAGTTATATGACCCACAGTTTTAAGAAGCAAGGCCTTAAACTCTCTTGATACCTGCTCTCCTTGAGGTCTTCAAAGCAGGAATCTACTGTTTTAAGTCTCAAGCCTCTTTTTGAACGAGCAAAACGCATGTAATTAATAATCTCATTTTGATGGTGCTCATTTAGGCCCAACTCTGCCTGAAAAAGAGAGAATTTGTTAGTCCTGAGGAGCAGACAAAAAAACTAACAATGAAAATAAGTAAGATACTTTGTTGGGCCCGGTGTGGTGGCACACACCTTTAATCTCAGCACTTGGGAGGCAGAGGCAGATCTCTGTGAGTTTGGGACCAGTCTGATCTACATAGTAAGCTTCAGACCAGCCAGGGCTACACAAAAGCCCCTGTATCCAGAAAAGAAAAAGAAGAAGGAGAAGGAGGAGGAGGAGGAGGAGGAGGAGGACAGTAATGATGATACTGTGTTGTAGAACTGCTAGATGTATTATCAGGTTGCCTTCTTCTCTTCCTCCTACCTATCCAGCTAGAACTTCCTTGAAATCAAATATACAGTCATATGACTACTTCTCAGGAACAGAAATAATCCAAAGAGGCATGGGGTACTTTTAAAGACTTAAGATATGGGGTATACCTTAAACCTCTGTCATCTCCAATTTCTCTGAAAGTTGGCAGAGGGGGGTGACTAGGATGAGCCATGCTAGCCATTTTTATGTCCCAGAAAGATAAAAGACCTTGCTCCTTACCTCACGGAGCAGCACTGACCCACTCACTAAATGAGAGACTGTAGCAGGCTTTATTTATTTATTTGGACTACCAACCAGCTCCCAAATCATGACATGGCAACTTAATATTAGTTATGAATGTTTGGCCTTATCTGATGCTTGTCCCACTAGCTCTTATAAATTAAATTAACCTGTTTCTTTTCATCTACATGTTGCCTCAGAGCTTTTTACCTTTCTCTCATTTTATATGTCCTACTTTCCTGCGTGTCTGTCTGTTTGGCTGCCTGGCCTCAGGTATCTCCCCCTCTTCTTCTCTTTCCTCCTCGTTCTCTTCTCTCCTCTCAAGCCTAGATTCCTCCTCCTACTTTATTCTCTCTGCCTGCCAGCCCTGCCCATCCCTCTACTGCCTAGCTATTGGCTTTTTACTAGACCAATCAGGTGCCTTAGGTAGGCAAGGTAAAACAAATGTAACACATCTTTACCTAATTAAACAAATGCAGCATAAACAAATGTAACACACTTTTACATAAAGTAATATCCTACAACATAAACAAATGTAACACATCTTTACATAAAATAACATTCCACAACAGAGATGACTGCAATGTGAGAGGGAATTAAACATCTGCATTCTTTAATACACTGATCTTCAGATTTCTATCACAGAAACTTCACCTTACCAAATACAGCCTTAAAAAGGATATTTGGTTTGAAAATAGCCCCTAGCTTTTGTTATAAACCAGATGCTGTTTTTAAAATAACCAAATCAAGAAGCTGCACGGGTAAATGAAGCTCTCAGACCTGATCAGAGAAATTTCTTTGTACAACAGATGGTGGTTAATGCAGAAACTCACAACTGGTCAAAGTGCAGAGAATAAGTAGACTTTGGCCACAACTGGGATATCTCTGTCACACCCCTCTTCCAAGGAACAGAAACTATCTCTGAAGAGGGACAGGATCAGATCAAAACAGTGTCTTCTAGACCTGATAGGACTGCTCTGCTCGGAACTCACAACTGTGGTTGCCTGCACAAAGCCAGGCCAATCAACAATCTAGCATGGAGGCAGGAGGGATTTATGGGATCTGGAGAGTCAGTTTCTTTTAAGAGTATGGCCCATGGTAGGTTGGTCATTCCCCAGTGGATGGTCCCACACCCATGAGTAAATGGGCAGCATATACTAGGTAGGTACAGAAACTGCAAGATTAATCTGGGAGGAGCTGGGGGAGGAGTAAATATGATTTTAATTACATTGTATGCATGTATGAAATCTTTAAAGCATTTTTTTTTTTTTGGAGACAGCGTTTCTTTGTGTAGCCCTGGGTGTCCTGAAACTTGCTCTGTAGATGGGCTGACCTTGAACTCAGAGATCCACCTGCCTCTGCCTCCTCCCCCACTTTTTTTTTTTTTTTTTTTTGAGACAAGGTTTCTCTGTGTAACCACCTTGACGTCTTTGAACTCACTCTGTAGATCAGGCAGACCTCAAACTTACAGAGATCTACCTGTCTCTGCCTCCGGAATGCTGGGATTAAAGCTGAACGCCACCACTATCTGGCAATAAAAATATTTTTTTAAAAAAAGCCAAACAGAGGCTGGGTGGTGGTGGTGGCGGCGGCGGC